GCTGATAAACATGGTTGTGTCATGCATACAGTGTTGGAATCTCTACAGTGATTTGCGTGCGTCAAAATGATCCAGAAAATCCAGCGATATGTTGACCTGCTTCTGGCTCTGCTGCTCCTTCGAGAGAGGAGCTCAAACAACTCAGAGGCTTGTAGTGGTGAAGTGAGAATGATAAGAGCCGATCTGAGGAGGATGTGTCAAGGGTTATGGTTTCAGAACAGGTATGGAGGTCGGCATGGTGGGGTCTCCAGACCCATAGGTGAGGCCTGAGCAGTCAGGAATAGCTCAGGCTGAGCTCCAGCTGGCCTGGAGTGCATGTGAATGTGGTTTCTCCATTGACACTCCGCATCGCCATGAACATCTGGCTAGACAGCCTCCGAGATGCTTGTACTCACTAACTCACACACACACACCTCTATCTATTTCCACTCCAGTGGGGGTCTCTCTCTCTCTCTTTCGCTTCAGTTGCTTAGAGTCAGTATTGTTTCATTTTTGTTTTCCATTCATAGAAAAGGAGAGATACATGTAGTTCCTCAAGGTCTTTTGCAGAGTTGATGTTATATTGAAGTCTCCCACAGCTGAAGAGAGAAGAAGAGGTTGGGGAAGCACAGAAAGAAAAGATATTTGAACATTTAGCTGTTGGTCAGTCACTTCACTTCCTATGTATGGTGATCTTATGATTAAAACACACTGTACCACAGACCTTATCCTTTAAAACATCATTCTCATTAGCAGTGTTTTAGGATGCCTCAGTGTTCGTAGTTTGCCATTCTCCCATTTGCACACACATTCACACACCAGTGATATTACCAAGAATAGCTAGGGGTTCAGTGGGTACATCCCAAGCCTCTTATGAGCGCTGTCGTTTCCCTCCATCTTTTCCTTGTGTCTTAGTTTCACCCAAGGAAGATGCAAGGAAATCATGGGAGGAGAAAGGACTGGAGGAAATGTTAACAGTATGAGATGTCCTTTCCTCAGATCCTTTATCTGAAGCATCTAATCACCAACTGATTTCTGATAAAGTGGTGTGTCAGTTCACAATAAACTTCCTCAAAGGATGGTCTCATGCATCCTCACCCTTGGTCCTCGCTCCTCAGAGCTGATATAAGCGACCTGGAACATCCTATGTCCTCGGTTGACCGGAACCAACATCCAAGTCGGCCAAGGACATAGGAACAATCTTATAAGTGACACGAGATATACCCGGCGTCTTGCTTAAGGACACTTCAACACATGGACTGGAGTAGCTGGGGATCAAACCGATGACCTGCTCTACCTCCTGAGCCACAGCCACCCATTATGGGTGCACCAGTGGCTTCTATGACTACTGAGATTCAAGTTTTATTTCGGGACCACACTATTTAAGATATTGGCCCAATAATTAACCTTTTTGATAGTGACAGCTCCAGCTGGCCTATAACTCAATCTGCGCCAAAGGATTTGATTCCTAACCACTTCATACACAGTCGCCACTGGACTGAAATGGAGTCATCATAGATCAGTGTCATAATGTGGCTTTAAATGATGTAATGTCTTTCTGACTGACACTTACCCTGGCACTCTGCCTGTTGGCTTTCCTCTGGTCATCAGGGAGAGGGGGCATGGGGTAGGGGTATCTCCTGCTGGATGCAATAGATCCTGTAGAGGAGGTGGGAGACTTGGCAGGGGATAGTGTCCTGAGGAAGAGAGGAAGTGACAGTATTAAAATATTGCCTCTTCTTTTCTAGTTGGTTTAGGGGTGGTTACATCGGTCAAAGACACAGATTAAAAAATGAGGTCAGATCCAGGAAGCAGTGCTAATGTTAGATCTGTGATTTTGGGCAACATCCTCTTTGAGCTGCTCTAATTTTTTCAGTTTTCACCTTCCTACATAGAGAGGTTGCTCTTAAAAGCTCTTATTGCTGAGAGATCATAAAATTGTTTAAAAAAAAACAAGTGTGACTGGAGCTTAGCTTTAAGAGGCAACCTCTGTAGAGATTGTGTTCCCCTGTACACAGCAGTACATAGTTCCCAGCAGCGGTGTGGGCGTAGTCTTAGTTTCCTCCTGTAATTTCCATGTTTCAGACTGCCACACTACTTTTTCTTTATGAAATACCATCACAGAAATTCACCTTTAGCCACTTAAAAAAGCGTACTGCTAAAGTTAACTCCCACTGTCAGCTGAGCCACTATGTAGTCTTGAAAAGTTATTGTGTGTACATGATAAATGCTGTACGATGAGGTGACTGGGACGACAGACCAGACCGGAGCTGGGTGAGAACAACAAACACAGAGTCAGAGGAAGTCTAGTGAAACAGCCACAGAAAGCCTGACCCATGTACAGCAGCTTGTTTACACTGCTACTGTGTGGTGATCTGAAATTCCTGCAACTGGCCAAGGCAGTGGAAAGAGCGGAGAAGTCGGATGAGCTGCTGGTTCCAGAGGGTTTTCAACAGACGCCTTGAAAGCAACATCTTCTGAATTATTAAATAATTCTGTTACGTCATTTTGCGGTCATCATTTTCTGAGAAATGAAGCTTTTCCCATTAGTTTGCTGTGTCATAGTGCCAAACAGAAGCACTGATGAACTGACTGATTTGTTTTTGAATTTGTCAACATATTTTCATATTTTTACTAGTGTCATTGGAAGTGGAATTGATAAGTGGTTATTTTTTTATGCAGTGCCTTGTATTTTTTATCTGACCTCACTGCGTGATTGGCTTTATGATTCAGTCAGCTTCCTTAGCTCCACACTTAGTCCCAAAACATCGTTTGTACTATTAGCTGCTGGTGTTACAATTTGCAATAACTTATAACACTTTGTGGATGACCTGCATATTTTAAAAATCTAATGAAACAAGTTGTGCAGTAGTCATACTGATGTATGACGTCAGTAGAGTATTTTGTGCTACTGTCTTTGCTCCCATATAACTAGATTGGATAATCAAGCCTTTTTCTCGATGTAAATGTCTACAGTATGTTGTATCTCTTTCTTCTGTTAGATGTTATGCGTCTTAATTTAAATGCATATACATTAGTAAGAAAACATCATAATGAACAGTGGCAATGTTTTCAAACAGATAATTCGTCTACTCTTGGGCTACAAATAGCTGAATAGTCACATTGCTGATGGTAACAAATTTTAGTTCAGGAACCAGGGCTCTCTGATATAACCCTCCACATCGCTCCACTCCTCTGTACCATTTCTGTCCTTCAGTAGATGTTATAAGAGGGCAGGAATGTGCTCCTGGTCACAGTGAAGGTCTATAGGTTACAGCACTGATTGTTGCTAAAGCTTGGAGAAGTGAAAGAAACAGTCAGTGCACTACGAAGATGGGACCAGTGCTGCACATGAGTTTCCTCATTGTTAGAGAGACCTTGTGTCTGTGATTATCTGTAGACCTTGAACACAGAGAAGTGGCCTACAGTTTGTCACAGCAGCACAGTGATGATGTCAGAGCAGCGCCCCAAAAAAGACTGGCTCAACAATGACATCACACTGATGTGAAAGCAGGTGAGGTCACCGGGAGTGAGGCAGGGCCGACACAGACAAAACAACACTGAACATGCAGAGGTAACGAGACTGAAGGGGAGAAGCAAAGGAGGGGATAAGGAGAAATTAGGAATAAAATGACTACTATAATTGTAACACTAGCACTGGCAGTATAGCAGCCAGTTTTTCATCAATACACTACAGCTGGAAATTAAAATCCACAAAGTAAAATGCAGCTTAAGAAAAATGTCTTCATTTAAACTGGGCAACAAATATGATGTAATGTAAAGCAGAACAACTTTTTTATTTATTTTCAGCAACAACTCCAAGTTGCAGCATGCCGGCTATTAATAACACTTTCTCTCAGATGTCGCTTTTAAACTTCTCCAAAAACAGGCCAGATTGGAGCCGAGTCTCAGTTGTCGTCACCAAAATAAAAATAAAAATAAAAAAAAAAATCAAACAAAAGGTGAGGGTTTTAGACAAGCGTGTGGGGCACAGCACATGGTCTGAAGTAATACCTAAGGTAAGGTCCTTGAGTGTTTCTATTCACATCTTCTACCCATTTAGTTACATCATAAAACTCTGTTTTGAAGCGAGGGGTTAAATACCTGTAGGAGGTGAAGGGAGGGGTGGTGGACACAACACAAGGAGGGGGAGAAGAGAGAAAAGGAAGGAAGGAAAGGAAATGGAAAGGACAGAAAATCTCCAGAAATAAGCAAGTGAGGGGAGGAGAGAGAGGAAGAGGAAATATTTTAGGAAAGCAGAGCAGAGCAAAGATATCCTGAACAAACACCCCAATGCAACTGAGATTATGGTGAGAAGATGGCAGACAGACCTGTGTGTGGTTTCAGATGAAAACAGCACCATGAAAATCACAAACAGCTTGTGTCGTGTGTTATAGGCTCAGTTGCATATTGGTAATATGTCACATAATTTCAAGCGGTTACTCAGTCTCATGCTTCAAATGTGCACTGCAGACCGCTTCTGATGCCAAGACCTCCAAACCCACAAAGCAACCAAAACGCCAGGCTGGGAGGCAGTCGATGCACACGCTGTTAATTATTCATTCACAGGCATCTATGTAAATAATGTCTGCTATGAGTAAAGATTTAGAGGTGGAGTACAACTTCACAAGCCAGATCAGAGTGCACCGTCTTGTCCTGACTAGCTTTTGAGGCTCAGTGCAACACAAGGGAAGCATTTCTTCCATACTTGTGTGAATTTTCTATGAACTATGCCTTCAAAGGACAGGTAATATTTTTTATGTTCTTATTGTCAACTAATCTAATTTTAAAAAACCCCAAAACCAACAATAAACAGAATGTTTGTGTTAATCTAATTTTATCAGTTTGCCAAAACCTGCCCTGAATGTGGCGTATTACACTTAACTATTATTATAGTATTAAATTAACTAACTATTTAAAATACAGAAATGAGACACATTGTTGCACTTACTGACATGTTTATTAAGTGAACAGGCATTGTTTATTTTGGCTCTAGTCTTTTCCTGTCAGTGCTAAAAATACACTCTAGTGCACCACATATGTATTAATCCACAGGCGAAAATAGTTCCCAAAAAATACACTGTTATTTGTAACATTTGAAAACCTCGCTGCCCAGCACTTTAAGGACATTAATGAGAATTATTTTTATTTTTTAATTTACACAATATTTGTGACCTTTTTTAAAAGGTTTATGAATTTGGCAGAAACAAATGCGCTTGTGGTCAGAGAAAGGGCAAGAAAGTTAGCAGATGTTGAGAGATACAATAAAACATTGTTTTGGTCTTTTCACAGGATTTCTTAGTCTATTTTCTACAAGAACCTCTGTTTATCTGCAAATCTCATGTACAAATGTTCGCTGACCTCGCAAAACCATCAGCTGACTTACTCTGTGGAGTTAGAACGAGCACGGAACTTCTTTCCTTTCAGTTTCTTACGATTACCGCTGAGATTTCCTGGAGAGACACAGAATATAAACACACACTTTATATAGAACTAGACATGATTAAATGCCAAATATTAATATGTTGAATGTAAGAGAAAATGTCTAAATGGGGCTACAATGTATTTGTTTCCCTAAAACAAATTTAGGAAAAAGTCAGCACTCCAGTGGTTTAAATAAGTAAAAGACCCACCACATTATGGTTGGTTATTTTTGTCTCTGACACAGGCTCTGTGCCATATTTAATTGACATTAGCTGTACATAAAATTAAGACATGAGGTGATTTCCTTTCTTTTTTAAAAATGGATTTGTTCTGGGGACAGACTCATTGCAGGCCTTCTTTTTGAGGCGCCCAAAATTCAGTGTGGTTATTTCCTCTTATGCACGAGCAGGGATTTGTGTGTTACCTTGCCACGAGTTGCTCCTCGGCCGCCCGTTTTCACAGATGTCAGAGATGTGCTTGGCATCTGGGATTCTCTCACTCCATGAGTGGGACAACCCATTAGATCTACACACACACACACACACACACACACACATATCATGGACAGAATATTACCAGTACAGTAAGCTGCTACAAATCATTAAACACTATGCTGCTCCTTTTGCATATGTAGAGATGCAGGAAAGGCTGAGGTAAATGAAGGAGAAGATGAAGACACCATTGCAGCAGATGGCAACATTATGAGCCATGAAATAACATCATAGAAGCTGAATGTGACATTCAGTGGAGAAAGGAGCCTAGTTCTCGCTAAATGTTCATCAATTTAAACAGCTTTGGCTAATTTCCAAAATGTTCACAGAAAGAGACACAGTGTCAAAGCCATGATTATAACAAAGCGTGGTATCAACACCAGTGAGTCAACGCACATGTACACACAGTAGCCAGCAAATGAATGAGTGATGATGAAGATGGCACACCTGAAGCCAAACAGTGAGATGTTCTGAGAAATGGATGGGATGGAGGGAGTGAAGGACAGGGTGCAAATCTGCAGATGCGACAGACAAGCTGACCTCTTCTTGGAGCTGCAGCCAGAGTTTGTGCTGACACCTGGAGGCATGTCACTGTAAAAGGAATCTGCATCCCCAGGCTTTGTTACATAGTCACCTGGGGGCATTTGCCTGGAAATACAGAGGAATGCTTTTAAATAGGAAATAACAGTCTTAACACCTTTAGATTCTCCCAAAGTTAGTTTTCATTAGTGTATGATGTTCAACAACAAGCAGGAAAATAATTACTCTAAGTACTTTTACTCCACTACTGTAATTTGAGGTAAAGTACCTTATTCTTTTACTACACTACATTGTGAGGGAATAGGTGTACCTCTCACTCCACCACATTTATTTGAAACTACTGTTACACATTTTTACACACGACCACCTCACAAACCATGGTTTGATTGAAGTGCCCATCAGTATATAAAGGAGTAGAGATTAGCTCCACCCTTGACCAACTACAACAGTAAAATGCTGGCTACACCTTAATGCATCTGTATGAAAAAACCTTTGATACTTTACAGTAAGTACCTTTTGATTATAGTATTTTTACTAAAATGTAGTTCGATGGCAAGACTATCGCTTTTAACAGACTAAATGTTCACTGCATCATTGGTACATAAATACTTAAAATATTCTTCTTCCTTCACTGCTTGTTTTACAGGACAATGACAATATTTTGTTCCTCACCAGCTGTTTTGTCACATTTTGCTCTGGGTTTTGGATAATTTAAGTGAAAGAGGACTGGAATCAAAGACTTATGATTATTAACCACAGACTTTGTGTTAAGCAACAATAAAAACCACTGTGTGACATTAACCCCAACTCCTGAAGCACAATCATCTTAAATGCAACATATGAAAAATAGTTTAAGTGAGCAAACCGGCAGAATCTTCGGTGAACCTCAGACTCAACATAGCGTTTCTGCTTGTAACTCCTGTGAAGAGAAGTACAAGTAATGCTAAGCCCAATAATAATACAGCTTTTGTCAAATTACTGCATATTATAAAGTAGTGATTCCCCACCTTGATGGCTTGTGAACCCCCAAAACAAAGCAGACCCCTTGTCATTGGTTGCATATATTCACAACTGTCTTTACTGTGAGAGCAACCACTGGTTTGGGAACCATGTATTTAAATAAATAAATCATATTTGCAGACTACAGGGTCACTTACTTGTAGCACCAGGCTGTAACAGCCAGTATGAGGGCAAGAAAGAGGATGGAGCCTACAATGGCTGCAATGATGATGTTTGTGCTGGTGATACCTGAGAAAGAGGAAGAGAGGGAGAGGGAGCCAAATGTGTGTTAATTGGATATGTTTCTTTAGGTTTACGACTCACATGGGGATACACAAACCACAAAACATTGCAGCAGCACACAAGACACAGTGCATTTGCCAGGAAAAGTTTAAATGGAGAACTAAAGGAACAACCAAACCGCTGCCACCCTTCAGCAAGGGACCTTAGAAGGGCAGTAGTTTCCCATTCAGGACAACAACAACAGGTTATTTTTAGCCCAATAATGTTCAGACGACAGAGGTGATCTGAAATGTGGGTAAGAGGGGAAGAGGACCAGAAGGTGACATCAGAGACAGGATAAGTACAATGAAGTAGGAACTCAAATCTGACCTTAAGTCACTCCGTCAAAGACATCAGCCTGTCGACAAAGAATGAGTGTGAAAATAAGAGTGACATGCATGGTTCACCGAATACAAATGCAGCTGGTTTTAACGAGTAGACACGAAACAAACACAGAAGCTAAAATAAAGAAAAATGCAATGAACACAAAAAAAACTAAGAAAACAGCATGAAATACTCAACATATAAACACTGACAAAGAATTGGCATAATAAAAGAAGAACTGAAAGAGATGAAGTGGGTATACAAGTGGTGAGATACAGGTATGGAGTGCAGAGAAGAATAAATGACAAGAAGAAGAACGCAGAATACGAGCCATAGAGAGAGGAATGAATAGAGGCAGCAGGTAGGAAATGGGTTAACAGCTCTACCTGAGTCTGAGTCAGTGGGTCCCACCACAAGGTAGCTGAGAGGAGACGTGGAATTACAGTCCTCTCCTGCCCAGCCCAGGTAACACACACACTTCAGCTCATTGCTGCACACCTAAAGCATGAAAATGAAAAATGTGGGTAGTGAAGGTTTTGGCCTCGTCCCATAAGCAAGTGGTCTCAGATTTTAAATTTGGTCAGCAAGAACACTTTGGACATTGCATTTTTGGAATACCTGCTTTGCTCAGTGAGTAATATCAGATGAAAGCAAATCAGATATTTTAAAACCTTCAACCTTCCTTTCAACATCACTGCTCTTGGGATTCGGCATCCCTCCTCAGCCTATTTTTCAACATCGTTCATGGTAAACTGAGGTATCAGCTCCTCAAGATTTGTGGTCCAAGCCATTGTCGACTGTGTGCACCTTTATTTCCAGGTTTTGTTTTCGGGTGACTCCCTTGTTTCCGATTTCAAAAATGAAATAAGGGAGTTAAGCTACTGATAGCCAACATCTTATGCTGATGCTCAAAACTAACAGTTTAAATGATTTTACATAAACAAAACAACAAGTACAAAACTTTGACAACAAATAATGTGTTACTGCTAAACACTGTACAAGAGGCTTAGTTTGAGGTTTTAGGAACAATGCTGATGTTTAAATGGTGTGGCTACTGAGACCTTTTGGTCAGAACCTCTGGTGGAACTGTTTGATTTACACACCTCTTAGAGTGATCAATCTGACATAAAACTAAATTAAAGAGGCTTTTATGAATCATTTAGAGAACCTTCTAAATGATTAAAACTGGGACTAGGCAAGCAACATTGTATCCATGCATTCTCTTTAGTAATTGGTACAAGATTTTGCAGTGACTCAAACTGAATTTGGGGTTTTGGGATTTTGGACCACCCTATTGTACATGTGTGTTTGTGTTTGGGGCATTCACTACCCCGTGTCCAGAGCAGACGGTCTTGTCGGTGGCCCCGGGGCAGGTGCTGAAGTTGAACTGCTGCACAGGGACACATTTGTGATTGAAACAGATTCGATCTGTCCCACAGGCTGTCCCGTCCTCCACATATCCCAGGTCTGTGTCTCCATCGATCAGCACATGAGCACCACTGGACAATATACATGACAGTCATTAACACTGCATGTAACAAGAGGAAGACTGTGTTTTCTGTGAATTCACATAGATGTTGAAATGAAAAACAAACAATATATACTGTTAGTTTGACCTGTGAGCGCTGTTCTTCAACGATGTGTACCTGCAATCAAGAGAAGCGCTGTGTTGAGCCACTGAGAAAGAGGTCAGGCCTCCCTGCAACTCTCCCAGCCGTGGGGCAGGTGAAATGTTTGAGCACAACAGGTACCCACAGTGAACATCTCTGAAACACAAAGGTGCAACCACAGATTAACCACAACCACAGATTACTTCGAGAGAAGCGCCTAGAACACCATGGGTCTCAGTGACAGAGGGCCGACTCACTGTTTGTTACACTGGATCCAGGTGTCCCTGTCCTTCCCACAGTTGCCTTTCTCTGTACCTTCAATATTCAGCTTCTCATAACAGAACTTGTCCGCCGCTGTTGCCTCTGAGGGAGACAAGACACAAACAGCTTTAAGATCTAGTGCAGGTTCATCTCTAACAAAGGTTTTTAATGCTGGAAGATGTGTTGTGTACTTCCACCTACACGGAATGAATATGAGACTTACTCTCTCCCCAAATGTACTTGCACTGTCTGTCTTTGGTTTTGCATCTTCCATTGAAACAGCGGCCCTGGAAAGAGAAATATAATGCTAAAAAACTCACTTGTACTTCTAAAAAGTCTTTTTTAAATGTAAAAAACCCAAACATCTCACCTGGTCCTTTTCACATGTGTAGCCATCCATCTTGTGCACATTTGGTGGACACTGCAAAAAAAACAAAAAACCTTGGACCTTAGAAAATCTTAGAGCGCCAACTGCAGAAAACTGTGTGAACATTAGGCACACTCACCTGGCTAGAGTTGCCTGTGCAGTTTTCTGGGATGTCACAGTCATTCACTGCATCTCGACACACAACCCCCATAAACTCCATCTGCATCAACATGCCATAAAGATTACACAGATTGTGACAGTGTCTGTAATTAGGGCTCTTGTCAAAGGACCAGGGGCTTAATATGGAATTTTTAATCCACCACCAGAATTCATTGCCTAGTTATTTCTGGGATATGCCTAATATTCAAATTCTAGGTTTTTATAAGAGTAAAAGGATGTTATAGCTATATTATATTCACTGGTAGTGCACCAGGGAGGTGTAACAGGCTATTATATGTTCTGTTTTTGATGTGTCTGGAATTTGCCATATTTATTAACACAGTGATTATTATGACAGTGCAAATCTTCTAAGTACATGGGGTGGGCTCCAGTGAAACATTTAACTTTTTGGGTAATTGAATATATATTAACTTTTTCTATTAGGATATTATGTCTATACCAACTGTATACTTTTGAGTTAACCATTTCATTGTCTTGCACCTTTCAAAACATTTGTAAACCATTTGCCTTTTATTCTTATTACTTCTTTTCAATCATTTCTGAGAGGTTTATTGTGAATTATGATTTTTCACTAGTTTATTTTGGCAGTTTTTGCTAAACAATAATAGATTTTTTTTTATTATTATTATTGTGTATGTGGGAAGTCTCTGCCCCTTCCCAGCTTCTTCTTAGACTGTTGATTGCTTGGTCCTTAGGACTTGCTGATTGTATGCGAGTGCACGGTTGTATGTACTTTTGCCCTGATCAATGTCACTTGACCAAAATGTAGCTATTTAATCAATTCACTGTGTGTTAACACTGTGCAGGAGTCAATTTCTGTTTTGTACTTTTTATTTTTCAAAACTGTGGAGAACAATTTTGGTTTAGTTTGTTCAGAAACAAAATGTAACCTAATGCTTTTTCACTGATTTTGAGCAGGTTTTCTCTTTAATGATTTTATCCAAAGCCTGTTTCCAAAGAGAGCAAAAAGAACTGAAGGGAATGGAAGCAATGAGTCTATTCTCTTAGGGACTCCTCCCTCTGCTTGGCATCGGGTCAGTCAGTGCTTCTGTTTTACCAAGCAACACCCAAGCAGACAACACACTGTGTAGCTGTGGCCTGTTTTCTACCTGGCAGCTTTTGCAGCAGAGTCCGTTGCTACACTTTGAGCCTTGAGTCAGGGTGCACATCTTACAGCAGTTCTCTCCTTCTCTGGCACACTCCTAAAAGACAAACAATCTTCTCTCAGTTGTCGCCTTTTGATGTGATTTGATTTGATTTTATTCTTTCAAGCATGTAAAAACAGTTGATATGACAACACACATACACATAATCCAATATCAATTATCTTATACCTAGTATATGCTTGAATGGAGTAGGAAGAAGTCTGACTTATCCCGTCCTACCCCATGACATCATCTTACCATCATTGGTTTGCAAGCGGTAAATGATTCACTTCTACCCACACAAGTAATATACTAAAAAAAGATTATAACAGTGTTAACATTCTTACATAATTACATTCTTAAATAATTATCTTCTACACCACACAAGTAATATACTAAAGAATTGATGCTTCTGTCTTTCATGTAACACTTGCATAATGCATTTAAAAACAATTCTGTAACCAGGCAATAACAATGTATGCAGCTCTTTCATTTATCCAGTGAAATTACATTTTTAGTTCAAATTACTTCCCATCTAGACTAAATGTAACACAGCAGGTGGTTTTGTTGTAGTAGTTTATCACTTTGACCTTAATAATTATCAAGTTAACCCTTTAGAATTCATCTCCCTGTTTGTATTCATAAGGTCTCATTTAACTCACCACTGGGCCCCCACAGTCACACTCCTCTCCTGGCTCCACAAGGCCATTACCACAGACTGGAGGGTCCAGCAGCTGAGAGGGAAAAGGGAAGAATTAACATTTACTACTGTACAGTATACACGTGTGTGTGAGAGAGAAAGAGAGGTGTACCTTCATGGGTTTGTTGAACAGGCAGGCTCCTCCACCGCTGTTTAAGAAGTTATGGTACTCCTCCACGTTGCAATCGGAGAATCGCTTGGGCAGGTAGAAGCTGTTCAACACAACCGCAGCATATTGTCCCGTTACCGTGGGTACAGCACAGACAGCATCCTCAAATAATACTGGGAGAAAGAAGGCTTCCTCCAAAACAACACTATAGCACAAAGTCTCAACTAGCATTCAAAAGTGTACTTGTAAACAGCTTTACCCATACAAACTGACTTCTGCCCCCTCACATTTAATTTCAGTGCTACAGACAGTTCTATAGCAGGTTTGTGAAGCTTGTATTTTTTACAAGAGAAACCATACACCATCAATATTTCAGGTTTAATCACAGGTCTACCATACTCACAGTTCAGAGGAGATCCTTACTATAACATGGGGTAGATATACAGCACATCTCAGATTGTGAAGATGTTTGTGTAAAATGAAGATGAATCTAAGATGCATTTATGAATTTGTCTTAGAAATGACCCTGAATATGGTGGATGATTGTTTTAAACTGTTATTACATTGTCATTTGATATTGTGCCCCAAAAATAATCACCTCAGGTTCTTCCACATTTCACAATTTTTCACAGTCAGAGATTCTCTGAAAAGGAGTGACGCTCTGCTGTGGGTGTCATCAACCGTTAAATGCTCCATGTGATTGCTCTGATTCACTTACAGTAAAACTGTTAGGTCCGGCTTGATGACACATTCAAGAGGAGCCCAATCAACATGTGACGTATTTGACTACACTTATTTGAATCCACTTATAATCAAATGTTTGTTCTGATGCTTTCAATGACACCAACACTGTTGTGATTTGCTGCAATACAAATAAATTGAATTGATACAAAGCTGAACGGTACTTTTTTTTTTTAATTAATGTTTAAAAATGTAAATAAATATCACTATTGTTGTTTAAATATTGTTGCAGGCACATATGTATTTAACTGGAGTGGCTCTGACGGTCATCAGGACCCATAATAGAGACAATGCAATAACAGAGTCGGGTGTTGAGGGGTCGTAGCTATTTGATATACAGTGAAGTCACCGACAGAGATGATGGTTGACGGACAATGCAATACTGATGGATGAAGTACACTACAGCATTTTTAGAAAACTGTTCCAGCTGTCAGGTGGGATTTAAATCTTTGATTTCTAAATTTGTGCCAGGGTTGAGTCATGTCAAAATCTTGTGAAACAAAGATGAAACAAGCCAAAATATGTATTCCAAAAGACTCAAATACAAATAGTTGCATATTTTTTATCTGTAGTATGTAGATTTATTTAAAGTGTGTGAAACATCTCATGTATCCAGAAGAAGTTCGGTAAAACATTTTCATTTCCTTCTTTCTTCCTATCACCCCTTAGTAGTTGTTAGCAGGCATGGCAGCATGTGAACCATAATGCATTACATCTCTCTGCTATAGTCATGTGAGCTGCTTTGTCTCTGACACATCGGTGTGTCCTTGTCATAGTATAATTCACACAATATGTATTAATAAGATCAGAAAATTATATTTTGTTATGGTAAAACATTTTAAATACATATTTTGACCTGGTTTGTTTGTGGCAACATCCTTTTTTTCATGAGAAGAAAACAAAAGAAATAAAAGTTTTTTAAAAACTACTAAATTTTAGGAATAGAAATCCTAACTTGACCTTAATGCATGTGCAGAAAATGTACTGTGCATCTCTTTAAGAACTGTGCTCTCTGCCAAGTTTACTGTATATTAGGTATAGTTAGGATTTAAGATGTCACGTACACTACAGAGGAATAAACACATGTATGAACAAACATCAAGTCGCACAGGTTCATACATACAAACACACACACATTAGCCAAATCCTCTGAAAAAAATTGCAGTAGTCCAATTAGATAGATCAGACATGCAGGTGCTGAGGGGGGAAACCAAACTTCTGTCAATGGACATGACTGAGGTCACTCATTGAATACAAGTGTCTGAAATACCATTGGCTTTATCTTCCACAGTTCAAGTCAAGGCCAGGTCCTTTCACAGAAGACAGGCTCAACAGAGCACATGGTCACCTGTCATCTGTCAAGTGACCTCATGATCTCAATTTGTTTATTATGTTAACCAAATAGAGCAGGGAGTGGACAGGGAGTGCCAAGGCAAAGTACCATTGTTACAGGGGAATGTGACTAGACAAATATTTGCCTAAGATGAGAATGACATTGCAGACTGTTTCAATCGGTTAAACATGAATAAAAAGAACTAATGAAAAGTCCTGACTTTCAAAGGGCAGGGGGGAGAGGGAGCCTGTCAATGATCAGAACAACCAAATTAATAACATTTGCTTGGTTAATCAGCAAAAAAAACTGATGAATATACATAGAGGTACATATAAGCCAAATTGTACAAATTGATAATGAAAAATACAGTCAATGTAAAATAAGCAGACAGACTGCATTTATTCATATCTTTTGAATAAAAAGAGGAGGGGCCACAGCGGCTGTAGTGCTGCTGAATGAAACAGGAAAGGCTGTGATGACTGACAACCTCTCCGCAGCAGCCATTTGGTTCAAAACAGCACAGGGAACGTTCTAGCCAAGCTTCTGCTCACCTGCTGTCCCATTCAGGATATAGGGGGAACGCGAGAAGTATTTAAGAAGAGGGGTATACACACATCACAGGGCCACACACATAGCACAAGCCACTGTATATGCACTACTGATATACGCAAACACATTTTAAGAAAAACATGATTACTGCATATAACATACATAGACTGATTTATCACATATTTTCTAATCTTAACAAGCAACATATTACATAACACATGTCTGCTGAGAGAAGCCCAGTGCAGTTATATAAACAAGATGAAATCAAATGGAAAATAACCCTGGCCTGACACCTAGTGGTTATTTACAAAACTACAATAACACGCCCATGAATGTTAATATTCATATCAGTATATTTATCCTGATGAAGAAAAGAATACAGAGATCCACACAGTCTATTTTAAACCAACATTTACATTATTCATTTTATATAGATTATAACATTTTGTCAACCTTTAATTCCCTGAAATGCTTAACAAATTATTTAGTAGCCACATTTCTTTGTGGTGTTTAGGTTAACTGTGACTGATAACTTGTAACTACTATTAAGTCCAATTTCATTTCGCTATTTGTTGATTATCCCTTTAAAATAAAAAGCAAATAAATGCTTTGGCAGATGACTGTACAATCAATTTTTGGGGGATGTGATGTCAGCAATAAAGCCAAACTACAGCTTTGTGATTAAAATTACCTGGAAAAATTCTGATAACACTGTAAAAACAAAAAAGTCATATCTGCACATTAAACCCTCACCACAATATTTGATCCAAGATGTATTTTCATCACAGAATTTGTTTGAGAAACTTTGATGAAACTCTGATGACACACACTGCCATGTATTGTGACAGATGACCATGGTGTCCTTTTATGACCTGAAAATTTACAAATGTAAAAGTGGCATACCCAACATCATCCATGATACAGCCGTACCAACGATCGTCACACTTGCATTCACCTGAATAAAAAAAAGAAAACAAAAACAAAGGAGGCTTAAATAATATTTAGTGATATAAAATAAACAAAGAACTCATTAAGCTCCGACTATGTACCATTGAGGATCCTTTTCTTGTCGGAGAAAATGCCAATGTTTTGCCCAAGAGACTGAACGAGGGTTATGGCCATCTCATCTGTTTTCCCATACTGAAAAAAATAAAACAGACAAAAAGAGCAAGGAGAGGAAGAGCAGGACAGAGAAATTAAACAAAATATTAGATTAGTCTGGAAAATTTGGGAACACTGGTTCTTCCTTTGTAAGAGATACTGCATGGCTACAAAACTGAAACAACAGAAATAAATACACAGTATGGACATTCAAATCAGAGAAGAGAGAAGAGTGTGGTATAGAGGCTCTGTATTCACATTTTTAGGGAAGATAGTGGTGATCAATGAGTTTTTTTGAAAAATCTGTGATCATTAATTTGTGATTCCAGACTCACCTCATTGACTCCCCCTCCTTTAGTGAGGGAGCAAACACCTCCCATATAAGAAGCTCCACCCCAGCTGCTATGAAAACGATTCCCTCTAATAAGAAGGAAAAAGAAAAGTATGTTTTAAATTTTAAGAAAGTTGAGCATTGCGCTCACAAGAAAATCTTTAAGTATTCAGACTCACGAGAAGAGGTGAACAGAGTCACACTTCTCCTTGATGAAGTCTTTGCGATACTTCATGAACTCCCTCAGTGTCACCATGGGGTCATCGTCGATGCTGAACTTGTTGTCAGCGGACCAGGTTTCCATGGCAACCAAAACAATTCGGGTATTAAGCTGTTCTTTGAAAATCTGGGGAATTAGAGCAAAGCTGTCTTTTAAAAGTCATAAAACTATAAGCTCAAAGTCTGTGTCCAACTCAGATGACATGGCAGATCCATATTAAACCTAACTGGCATGTTTCATATTCAGCAACATCTCCAGCTGTTCATTATGACGGCACCAGTCAGTCCGTCAGTCTGATCCTGCCACCATCAGACAGCAGCATATTTTGGGCTACTAGACAGAGTCAACAAGGGTAAGAGTATAAAGACAAAGCAGGAGCAAACTGGACAACAAAAAAATATTGATTGCTTTCATAAGATGTAAATCTGTTGGAGTCCAGGGCCAAACAAACACTGGAGGAAGCACCAGGGCAAAGCCTCGATGTTTAGGATGACTACCAACAGTCGCAAGACAAAGCTGACAGAGCAAAGTGATGGTGCATTGTTTAGTCCATCTGGCTCTTACAACCACACCCTGTCCATTCCATCGCTGTTTGTGTGGAGAATTCATCATATTAAGGGCTGTTGCAAACCAGCCAGTGTGGAGCGAACAATAAAGCAGAGTCAGCATCACACAATCTAATGCTGCCTTTTTATGGTGGGGTTAATATCACGAGTGTGTCACAATCACATCTTTCTTGTCTAGGTGATTTTTTCAAGACACTATAACTGTGTTTACTGTCTCCTGAAGGCTTGCAGCACAGTTAAACACTCAGTTCAAAATATCTGTTTTATGAGGCGTCCTGATAGCCACAAGCGCAAAGTCTCCAATTCAGCTACGGCTGGGGACTTCTGTTGCATGTCATACCTCACTCTGCCCTTATGTCCTGTCTGCCTCTGTACTTTCCAAGAACCTCCTAAAAACTATTATAAGTGCCAAAAAGTATTAAAAGTGGTAGTACAAGTGTGAAATTTCAAGCCAGAATTGTCTCCCTATCTGGTATAGAGGAATCAAAAACTGTATGTGGCAAGGAGCCAATCTGGGCTCGAAACACTGTATTATTCCTAATGTAGCCTAATAAAACCAAAGGAGCATTCAACAGTGTTGGGAGTGTTTACATTTAAAAATCACAGGATGGGCAGTGACGTAAAATTAAAAAAAACACCATTTTGTCTCAAACTGATTTGATTTGTCTGATACCATTGTATGTATGAATTAATTTTTTAAAAATCTCTGATTTACAATAAATGTCAATTGTTTTGTGGATGTTATTATATTTAACAGCTGAATAAAAAGGGCATGTGAGTATCCATGGTGACTTAGAGTTTCCTGTTCGTAACACTCCACAGTGGGTAGTGATTAAATTGGGAAGGGCCCATAACAATGACACTTCCTGTTGCAAACTAATAATGCTGCATATATACACATGTCCTAACTATTATTTTTTTCTGTATACTTGCATGTACTGTGGCATTTATGAAACCGCTATAACATTTAGCATACCTAGTTATGTTGCCTCCATACTGTAGATGAAATCAATGTTTTCTTCCCAAACAGAATCTGCTTCATGTGACCATCTTCAAGGACATAACAAAAGGCCTGACCTTTCTCCAGCTGTACCAACCTATCAGCTTACACACATGACCCTGTAGCAGGTCAGATTTCAGTAACACAGCACACAGATGTGGCTACAAATATTCAAACACTGAATTATCTGCCTAGTGCTGTTGAGATGCCGCTGCTACTTCAGTTCTCCAAACCTAAATAGTCAGGACAAGCTGGTTAATGGCTGTTTGCAGCACATTATGAAGTAGGGCAGGTTTTTAAATGGGGAGAGTGAGGTTGGTTAAATGAGAAATCAGCACAATGTGTATACAGCTCCAATACCTAGGAGTGCTTGTGGCAAGCCTTCCAAGAAGAGGATCAATACAATTCTTACCATGTCAGCCATATTGACCACTGACTTAGCATAGTTATTTGTGTGCCCAACAGAAAGCCGATGCTTCTTATACTGGAGAGAGAAAGAGAGAGAGAGAAAATGACTGAGACGAAATGCAGGAAAAGTAGGATACAACAAATTCATTTTATGCCACCTAAACGTAAAATAAATAAATAAATAAAAAGCACCGCATACTCGATTCACTCCAAATATCTGTTATTGTGGAGAAAACAATTTTGGTCCCAGTGGATGCTGGACAGGCACATTTGGATCAAAATATTTTCTATTTCATGCACAGTCAGGGTATTTTTTGGAGTGACTCAAAGGTGCAAGCACTTTTATAATGTTGGCTTTGGGCCCACCCAGCATTCTACAGCATTCTGTTCTCAGTATTTAACAATAGGTCCAGCAATAGTCTACATTTTCTTATATTAACAAAAACATAAATGAGCCAATCCTACTAACAAACAGCCGAAGCTTGATATGCAATGCTTCTCTGTGTCACATAGGTCCAGGGTTACCCATAAACTATTGAAAACACACCAATGAGCCACAGAGTGACACATGTCTTTATTACAGTGAACATGGGCACTGTAATGAATCAATAATACATGTCCTGCTATCAGAAATACCTGCAGGAGCACCAGATGTGTAGTAATGCAGAGTTGGAAATAGTCTCCAACATGTTTACTAAAAACTACAATGCACAACTTTTATAACACTATGCTACTTCTTATATTTGAAATAATAGTTACTTTTTAGTCTTGGTTGTTTCATGACATACTGAAAAATACTGGTTAATGCCGGCCTTTACCTTTAAATGTAGATATGTATAACTTAATTTATCTGTTTGTGCCCTGCACCAGTTTGCACAAACACTAGATAGCAGCAGCAACCAGGATGGCTGCATGACAAATCATAATGTGAACTTCAATAGCCAGCTAGCCAGACAAACTTTAAAATTATTTAAATGCTATTCTGAGTAATGCAGTGTTCTCTGTATTAGCTGTGATGCATTTCCTAAGAGGAGTTTATAGAAAATGCATCACAGCTAATACAGAGAACACTGCATTAAACTCCTCTTATAAAAGTACCAACTTATCACAGACAACTAATACAAATGATTCTTTAACAGAAGTCTTTCTGTATAAAGTCACAGCTTTAGTTATCATTTAATAGTGACAGCACCACAGACAAGCCAACAAATTAGGCTACGCTTCACATCTGCATTGTTTAATGTAAGAATTTGTGGGTAGCAGGCAAGTAGGTAACATAAAAAACAACTTTTTGGTTTCAAAATAAAATTCTCCTAATTCGGTATATGTAACATTCATATATGAGAAAGTTCATTTTTCTATTCTATATAAAGCATATAGTCTGTCAAAAGTGACAATTCATTGATTACCTAATCAACATCGTCACTGCTGAAACCTTACCATTAAATGGTCATTGATCACCATCAACTCAATGTATTTGGTCTCATCCTCTATACTGTGTGATGCATGTGAAGCCTGAGGAGGGGAAAAAACAACATATTTTCTCAGTTTTAACAGGCAGAGAGACAGACACCATTTTTCAGTTTTCCTCAACCAAGAAATGCCAACTTCAAAAAGAATTTCATAACAGTACAGAGTAAACACAAAGATCAATTCACATCTCTTCGTCACCAAGAAAAGAGACGACAAATCAGTAAAAATAAACTTTGCAAAGCTAAACCAGGTTTGTCTGTGCTCCAAATTCCAAATAACAATAACAAATCTATTTCATATAATGTAAATATTTTATGAAAAACAAGAGGAGAAAGAAGAGGAAAAGGGAGGGATGGAGAGCTGTTGTGTAGGAGGACAGCGAGGAAACAGTGCTCCCTCTTTAGCTATGTGGATTAAGATGAAGCATACAGGCGGGAAACAAAGCAATCAAGTTTAGATAAACATCCAGAGGATAATTACCACTCACACAAACACGCATACTCATGTGCACACAAAGTGGAGGCAACATGACTATCAGCATCCCTCTGCTATTATTCCTGCAGAAGACTCATACCTGTCTCTTTTTTCTCCTGTGGACAACTTTTGACCCAGGGAAGGGAGGGCTGGGAAAAGGTAGCTCTGGGAGATCACCTAGGAAATAGATTGATTAATGGCTATCAACAGTTGCCAAAGCAGGCAGACACACTTTCAGTGGGTAAAGCATGACTAAACATCAAATAGATTTTACTTTCATGAATATATATTGCACATTAAATTCTTCCTGTCTTAAGCCATGGTCTTACCATTCAGAAGATCATTAAATCCCTCTTGCCCTGCAGACTTGTATATCATGTGAATGTGGACATCTTCCTGAAAGATACAACATAAAGGAATTAAATTAAAGGTGGTTCAACAAGACAAATGCCACCACAGCTAAGAGCGATATACAGGCTTTCATTTTTTTCCC